TACAACGGTCGGTCAACAGACCACTCAGGCTTATCAACAAATCAATAATGACAAAAATGGAGTTCAATAAATAAAATTTTGGTCATAAAATAAAAATATTCTAAATGTTCAAAGTAAATGTTTCAAATAAAAAAAACTGGAAAAAATTGATAAATTGCAAATGAAAATTTGCAACTGATCAAATTTCATTTTTTTTTTTAATCTTTTGCATGGTACAACCAGAAGCTGCTCTTCATTTTTAGTGACACACTTTGGCTTTTTTTTTATTATTATTTTTTGACGGGTTGCCTTCATTTTTGCTTCTACTTTTCATTTATTTAAAATAGGTTTCCACTCTCTGTGGGTATGGTTCTTCTTCTATGTATTAAAAAMGTTGTTAAACATCTGAGTGGTGCAGTACATCATTGATCTATCAATGCACTACATCTACTAGTGTTGAGAAAGTATATTGCAACTTATTTAAAACCAATGGGGTCCTGTGGCCCTCTGCAGCCCAAAGTTAAAAACTGTTGTTCTTTTGAGGCCCGCAAAAGCTCTACCAGCTCACCAGTCAATGCTGCATTCTGTGTGATTTCCTCCCTCCGAAAGGCAGTTTCCTACCATCTTTCCTCACGTGTTTCAGAGAGAAGACATCAGTGCTCATCATGCTGGACCCAGACAGCTTCTTCTTTCCTCAATTTGTCATCAAGAGCAGCTGCTATGTTGAGACTTTTTGATCTTAGCAAAAATGTGGGTGGTTAACAAAAGAAAGTTTACATTCTTTACATTTATTTTAATTTAGTTTAATCTTTTTACAATACTTTCAATCTARTACTCCAAAGCAAGTATTAAAAACTTAATTAATTATGTATGACAGTTGGATAAACAATGTCAACTAGTTTCTGTAACACACCAGCACCCATACATGATACTACAGAACCCATGTGAGTTCTGTAGTATCATGGAAGACAAAGAAACAGCAYAGTGGCGCTCTCTACCTGTGAAGCAGAGTRTMTGACTTTAGCTTCAACAATGCAGGATTGTTGGAACACTTTTTGAAAGGTATGGATGACTACAAATATGCACAGTTGTGTATGAGGACAACCATGGGACAATTAAAAAAAACCCTTAAGAATACAAAGATGTAACATGTGGATATTAAATATAATTTAGTAAAATTACTTGTGAATGAAGGGACAATGTACAGTATCTGTCATATTGTACTGCTGAAGACATGGTTGCAGATATCAGGACCAAACCTGTTTCCAAAGCTAAAACTTAGAAAGTTTGAAAATGTTTGGCGTTTGAGAAGGAAARAAACAAAGAAAGGGAAAGTGAAAGAGATCCACGTCTGTATTTTAGTTTAATAGTGAATTTTATTATTTCAGCAACCCCAGTACAAGTGGGGGTGTTCAGATATTTGATTTGTGTCCTCAAGTTGTGAACATGTTGACTACATTTAAAGCTGGTTTTGTTAGAAGTGCAGTAATGAGTTGTATCCACTGTGAGACAGTCTATACTATTTAGAAAGGCGCTACACTGCCTATTCAGCTGTTGTTGTAGTAGAGTAGTCAGTCCGTGTAACACTGCTCCCTGGAGCTCAGTCTGCAGAGCACTCCTCTCCTGAAACATTGCTGTGAAGATGTGCAGAAGTGGGAGCGTCAGAAACAGTATGAGCTTCTTAAAGAGACAGAGAAAAGCGTTTAGATAGACTATGATGCAAAGTCACATTTATTTTTGATATATTACAGATTTTTCATAAAATGGAGGTAACATACTTGATTGTGRTAAAGAATTGAAGTGGAAAATACAGAATACCCCCTTTAAAGACCAAAATGCTTTACAATGAATTTCAGTTGTAGCCTGCCAAAACCGTATTATTGTTTTTGATTTCTTCTTGGATTCTACCATTTACCATCATCTACCATTTGGGAGGGGTGTGTGGGAGTGAGCTCTCTGCATATTCATTCATTCATTCATTCATTCATTCATTCATTCATTCATTCATTCATTCATTCATTCATTCATTTACTTTTGTAAACTGATCTTGGGGTTACAATAAATTGTAACACTTTTGCTGTGATCTTTGGATCTCACTTCAACAATAGAGAACACCCCCACCCCCTTTCCTCCAGAATAACAAGTATTTTACATTGTTAGGATGTATTTATTAAACAACATATCTAAATTCTGAAATTTTCCTAGATGTATTTACCTGGTGAGGTTCTCTCCAGGTCAAATTTACCTAAAGACATCAAAATAGTTGCAGCTGTGTACTTCATCTGTTATTTCTATTGTGTTAGAGCAAATGATGTAATTTTATG